GCGGCCAGGCAGGTTTCTTGTACTACGGGAGACCTTTTTCAGGTGCTGCCACCTCCCCCGGGGAGAACGGGCAGCCCCATCCCGCACAGCCCGGCAGAGGATTTGCAGCTCCAGGCTGGGAGAGCCATGGCACGAGTGTCTCGAGCACCAGAGCCCCGGCTGGCTGGGATTCAAGCCTGTTCCAGCCGAGCCCATCAGAGAAGTTTGTTTAACAAAGGTCAGGGTTTGAACTGGGAACGCTCAGCAGGAGCAATCTCACCCACCTGCACTAAGCGATGCAGTTACTGGTAATTCAATATCCTAGATACACTGCTTTTAATTACTGATTTTAGCTTGGACTACAAACAGATTACACCCCCGATAAATTACCTTTTGGTACGGTGTAAGCTCGTTAATGTGTAACTGTCCTTCCACCTTTACACCTCTTTCCCACCCACCTTAACCGGAAAAAGAGAGAATGAACTCAGCCTCTGCAGTTCTATGTAAACCAGACCTAATCTTAACTCTCTGGGTTTCACACTCTGATCACTAGCCTCATTAATTGATCTGAAGACGGCCTGGCAGTCTCTTCAGAGCATCCCAGCCTCAGTCAAGAGCTGTAGCAGAACCCAAATTCCCAGCTCATGGCGCATCATGCTACCACATCCATCTGCAACATAGCGGGCTTAGTTGCCAGTCAAATCCAGGAATACTACAGTACACTAAGTTTTGAGTTTAAAGGCAAACATCATTTCCTTTCTGTAAACAGATCTATCACCTCAGCTAAGCAAGCTACACAAGCCAGAGTGGTAGGGTTGTACATCCCAGTCCCCCACAGCTGAGGTATCCTACGAGGAAGCACAAAACCAAAAGAAAATATCACGCTGCTGCCAATAATTTGTCAATAACGCAGCAGGCACGGCCACATCTTAAAACGTTCATTCGGGAAGGGCAGAGCTCTGTGAAAAAAGAAGTTGCTCACTACTGAGCACGTAACATCAGGTTTGTGGGCTGTCACAAAAAAAACCCAAACACAATACGAGTTCTCTCCTACTGACAAAACTGAATTCAGCCAGGTGTGCCGCAGATCTGGAGAAAGCGAGATCTTTCTCTGTGCTGAAACGCGTGCTGCAAGTTAAACTAGCCTGTGGTGGCGTGGGGAAGCAGAGCGGTAGTTAGTGGGCACTACAAGAGGGGAGAGAGAACAAATCAGCCCGAACCACGGCACCCTCGGTCGCTTTTCGCAGGCCGTGGCGCACCCCCACCCAGCACAAAGGAGCTCTCACAGAACGTTTCACGGGGTGCTTTTATCTCTCCAACAGTCCATCCTGTGGCCAGCCATCGGGGCATGAGCGTTGGGAGCGTTTATGGGAGCACCGGACCGAGGCTGAGCTCCACATGATGGGTGAGCCAGATGACCTCAGAGCTATGATCGCCTTCCTCGCTGGGCCGGATCGGAGCAGCAAGGTTTTTAAACTCATGCTTCATCTTGAAGCTCACGGTCACTTCGCCCTCTTCTTTCTGTGGGGTGACCTTAATGAAAACTCCTACCTTGTTGGCTTTTCTGAAGGCAATAACACTGCAAAGCAGAAAACAAAAGAAAGCTGGGTCAGCCAAGTTTTCAAACAATTGTTCCAAGCTATGTACTCTGACATCACATTACAGGGATGTTCAGTTTATGGCTGAATATGTCCTCCTAGAAGAGCTGCCCTCATTTGTAGCTTACACCCTGCTGTTCTTTTTGCAGAGGACCCACAGCCCCTCCTGCCTCACAACCAGAACGTTACGTTGAAGTGCTCAGTTTTCAAGCATTCCCACAGGACAGACAACACTCACTCAGGGTCATCCTGAAAGTCTTGAGGCTCTGCCAGCTCGTCATACTCTGCTGCAGCATCTTTGCCAGCCAGAATAAGCTCCTTGGGAGGAACTGCCACCTGAAACAGAGCACAAACCTTTCAGCACTGATCACCACCTACACTGTTGGCAAGGCTGCTTTACCACAGTTTAACAGAAAAGTGATTCCTGGGCTTTTCTCTGCTCTAGTACTGCCTTGTTACCACTCTGCCAGTGAAATCGTGTATGTCTCCCCTGGGTTCTGTATCTCAATGAAGAGACACAATTTCAAAACACTTTACGATCTGACATTTACATTGGTGACAGTCATTTAAGCTCCGAGGAAGATAACGCAAGAGTCAGCAGGGACTGAAGAATATATGAAAAGCATGACCTGTGGAAGGATAAATGGGAGTGGAAAGCCTTGGAAGAGGCCTGGGCTCACACAGCAGGAGGGTAAAATACCTTGGCAGTGCTGTTGATGTTGTCAGGGTCTCCCTCCTCACACTCCAGCAGTGTGATATGTGTGATGTTCTCCACTGGATTGGTCAGAGTCAGAAGGACTTGGCTCTCCTGGGGAGATTCAGAGATCACAGTTCAAGAAGCAGTTACTCCAAAATTCATTGTCACTGTTAGCATCTCCACCTTCTGTGACTGATTAACACCTTCAAAAATTGCACCACGTCCACTCAAGGGATGGACAGCAAACACCCCCAGAGGTCCCAACGCCACACAGCGCTTGTTCTTCATATAAGAAATACACATCTTTGGAATGCAGCCAAGATCTCAACTCCACACCTTTTATTCTTCAGATATTGGCATGTGCTTATGATGCCAGACGTCACACCGCACAGTAATCGACTTACGCAGAGTGACAAGTATACACAGTGTTATTCTTACCGCTCCCTTAAACCCGGCACCCTCCCTAAAACGGAGTGAGCAAAGCCCTCCGGCACCAACCATCATGCTGTGTCACCTCCCAAAAAGGTGTCACATCCACACCTCCTGGCTGTGTCTCATCCTGAGACATTTCTGGAAAAAATACCAAAACTACTGACCTTCATGTAGCGCAGGTTGGGAATAGACATGATTCTCACTTCAGGGATATAGTTACTACAAAAAGAACAGAGCAAACAACCGTCATGGACTGGGTTGCTGTCTATAACCTACCTCTTGAAGTAGAGAGATGTCTTCAGAGACATCCAGCTAACTCGTTTAATGTTATTAGAGCTTAGCTAACGTTAAACAGAAAAACCAAGTGCCATTTAGCTATACAAACACAACCCTACAAACTCCTGCCACTGTGTGGGGCTGGCACAGCATGCAAGGTCTTTTTTAAACTGCGAAATCTCCACAACCTTTTTAGTAGATCACGAAGCAAACCCACTACAGATGAGCTGAATAAATTAAAAAGGTGACTATGCCATCCTAAGAGATGACACAATCATACAAGAGGTTAAATCAAGAGTATAAAACAAAAAAAGAAGAAATGATAGAAAATAGAATGCATTAACTAAGCATGAATAGGTGATTTTTCTCCCCAGTTCCCAGATCTTACTTACACAGCAACCAGCTGGATCTTGAATTTGATAGATGTTGGATTGAATTCTGGTTTGCTCAGGTTGTGTTCACATTTCTAGACACAAAGATATTTCAGTCATCACACAGGGACAGCACGCAGCCACAAACCGAAGAACCAGAGCTGCAAGCGTTGTGTCGTTAGCCACAGGGCTACTGGCCTCTGGCACAGCACAGACAAAACTGCCTCAGGGTGCGCACAGCCACCTCATTGTCAGGTTACTCTGAAAATGTCATAACCAGAAATATAGCAGTGCAATCTCAAAAACATGAGATTTGGAACTCAGCTTAAAATTCTCAGACACTTTATGTCTGAGAAAATATTCTGCATCTTAAACGCTTAGAAGAATATTGCTCCGTTACTCTGTGAACTAAATCAATACCTGTGCTTCACTGAAAAAGCAAGTAGCTCTTCAAAGACCCTGTACCAAGGCAACAGTAGAACTTGGGTGCAGTTCTTGCCTATTTTCACTTTCCAGACCTCTGCATTTCTTTGAAATATCCCCCTTCTGCCTTCCCTCTAAGGATGTCTTCAGCATTCTGCCCTGCCTCTCCCTAATGCTGTTTGCTGACTTGATTTCTGTTTTTAGTACTAGCAGATTTTTTTTTTAATTCTGACTGTACTGGCGGCCTTCTCCGACTCCTCGCCTAGAGAGAGCACACAGACCTTGATGCAAACCCACTTTTCTACCTTTAGGCATATTTAACTTCACCCTCCTTTCACAATCTTCATCAGAGATGCAACAGCCTCCCTCATCTCCCAGTGCTGTTACCAGTAATTTGGTTGAGAACTTCCAACAACCAGAAGCATCTGAACAGCTTATTTTAAAAATACATCTCCCACAATCCAAGTTCCGCAAGCCTCGAAAAAGCACTTTTTTTTTTTTTTTTTTGTATTTAATTACCGACCCGACAGCGCAGCGAGCGTTTGATCAGGAGGTGCTTGTGACGTGGGTAGAGCTGGGAAGCGCAGATCGGCTGGAAGTCAGGCTGCAGCAGCCGCTGACGGAGAGTCGTCACTGCCGGCACGACAGAAAGCAAATTAAACTGATTTGTCTCGGGCACTGAAACTCAAGCCAGACTGCACACGTGCGCTGGCCTAAGAGCACGTGTGCTGCGCACTGTGTGCAGACATGTTACAATCTCTAAGAAACTTCATTCCAGCTGCACCCAATAATTCTGAAGCCACAGGCAAGTTATCAATGTTTCAAGCAGTGAATGAATGGAAGGTAAGAGTCGCATGAACAGCTGCCCCGACTGAGCACGGTAACACAAAAGCACCATCAGTGCCAGCCCAGGAGAAACAAGGGATTCTGATCTCTGTTCAGAGCTCAGCTGGGGTGGAAACAGAATTTGGTAAGCATCTAGAAAATAAGTTCTTTCCCCTCTAAGGGCAAGTGAGTTTTCACAGCTTTGTTACGCTCACGGCTGGGTGCTGCACAAGTACAATATACAGCTTCTCAGCAAGGAGTCTGCACAACTCAGACTCACACATAAAATTACCAGCTACATAGATCCTGAGGCAAGGAAATCCCAGCAGCCAAATCTCCCATGGATTTCTCCCAAAAAATAGGGTCTTCACTGTTCCCTGTATCTAAGAGGCAGTGAGCCACCTGGCAGCCTTTCCCTCACAGCAGGGAACAATGAAAATTGTCTTCTTTACCAGCATCATGCTCTCCCAATGCTGACAGTCTCATGAGAAAAGGAGACCAATATGATCCAGCTCTTTCCATAGATGTTTCATGAATTAATTAATGTTGGCAGAATTTGTAAGTCTGCAGGACTACTGAGAATATCTGCCCTACTTAGGGCAGGAAGTCCACATCACTTACCGCACCTGCTGTTTTACCCCACTTTCTCCCAAGCTTCATTGACCAATTTACAACATTTGCTGATTAAACCATGACCCAGCTAAGTACCTGGCAAGCGTACACAAGCCGTTTCAAGCTGGTGTCTAAGTAATGCACAATTGTTACGCAACAAGTCAGTTTTAGTTCCAACTCCCTAGCAGCTCAGCTCCTCTTTTTATTTCCTGCAGTTATCTGAAAAAGAATTTCAGCTCTTTTCCCCATCCAAAAGTTGACACTTTGCATGCAGAGAAGTTAAGCTCAGCAAGAAAATGAAACAACTGTTAAGAGGCCTGATGTATTCAGCTCTGAGCATTCCACATACAATATGAAGCTGAACTCAAAGATACCATTTAAAAAGTCTCAAACTTGCCACCATTTCAATCTCAGCATAAAAATTACTAAAATCACAGGCCATTAGGAACCCCAAGGACAAGTTTCCAGGCACTGCCCATGTTATAAAATGGAAGGGCAAAAAGCAACGGAACATTAAGGCGTTACCTTCTGTCAGATTTATAGGTCTTGTGTAGTAATCCTCAGGAAGAGGTTCCACTTCTTCCACTGCATCAGCTGGCTCAATCTTGATCTCCTTCTGGTCCTCTCCTTCTTTCAAGCTGAAGCAAAGCGAAGGACGACTTGGTCATAAAATACAGCACGCGTGCTGACAGCCCACCCCAGCAGTAACTGTGTTATAACCCAGAGGGCAGTGAGAGCAGAGGTTGCACGACAACAGCAAGTGCACAGGGCTGTGAGCAGCCACTTGTCTCTATTAGGAGAAAGCAAAACATCTGGAGTGCTGCACAGAGAGGCCTGACGATTCGATGTTCCTCTAAGGCTCTAAAGGAGAAAGCTTTTTTCACCGCTGTTTGCCAATACGTCAATCAACTTTACCAAGTTGCCTTATTGCTCTCTTGCCTACATCTCCCAACCTTTCCACAAAAGTAACCCCAACCCTGAGACTCACGAGAGTCCAGCGAGGGCACTGATGGGAGCTCCGGGCCTCTGCCGTTGAAGCCTGGTTCCAAGGCCATATTTGTCCTGCAAGGGAAAAAGGAACCGTCAGCTTCAAGTCTGTTTCCCGCCTGGACAAAGAGACCTACTGCAAACTCATCCTTTGAGCTACATGACAAGCATAGGGAGACAAGCAAAGGAAAGCAAAAAAGGGAAAAAGTACTCAATGCTTCCCAAGAGTTTTCTTTCTGCTCAAACTGTTAGTAAGCAGAAAATAATCACCACCGCACTGCAGATGGGGAGAGACAGATGGGTGTGGCTACTGCTTATAAGGCTTTCGCTCTTTCTTTAAATCACCAGCCTGCACTACTGACATGTTTTCCCTTGATCTTCTCTTCAGAGCAATTGCACGTCAGATAGTGCAGAACGAGAGCTCTCTACTGCCAAAAGAACTGGGTCGACATGAGTACACATCCATCAGAAACACTCTGCAGCACTACCGGGAGCAGCTGGAAGGTTCGGCCTCCCACAAGCCTCGCGCCTACAGATCTCTCTCACCAGGCACCACCAGTTGGCAGGAATAGCTGAGCTACTCCAACTCCTACAGCTGAACTGTATGCAGCGTGCCTGGAGGCAGAAATCTTTCTTCTGGGCATGACTGAAAAACCTCAATTCCCACCAAATGAGAAATCTGAACATCAGCCTACCCTGGTGATTTTTCAAGGATCAGAAGATTGATGTTAGTGCCATCTGCCTCAGGCAGACAGACGGCCGTGTCTCAGCCAAGCTTTGTGAGGGATGGCTTTTCAAGCAAACGTTACTTACCCAAAGACACCACCCTGTTGGTAAACTAACAAAGAAATATATTTTTTTGTAACAAATGTAACCCTCTAACTAGTTAGCCTCCAGGTGTGTTTGTTTTAGGCACATCCAAGTCAGAGGCCCTGATGCAACATGAAGAGTAGAGACTGTTACTCCCCTTCAGTTGGCACCATGAGAGCTTTAACACCAGCAGAAACCGTGAAAAGACTTACCACTACGTGTATAGTGTGTTGCTGTGGAGAGCCCCCAAAATAGCAGCAGGTAGCAACGGAGACAAAAAACGCAGCCATAAGACACAAGCAAGGGCACAGAGCAAGCAGTTAATTGAGAAGTAGCAAGCATACGCAGAGTCACCCAGCTAAACAAAGCATTTTACCTGCCAGTTACAATACACAAGTAATTCAGGCCACAACCAGGTCTTAAGGTTAATTTCAGTTGAGATTTCATGTGGAAAAATGCCACACAATCCTGATCAAACTGTTAGTGAGCTGTGGTAAGCAGCTGTCCCAAGAAACAGCTACCCCTGGTACCGCGGCTGCGGCCGCACTGCATTTCACTGCTGGATAATATATTCCTTTGCATGGCAAGTGTAATCCTTCCTGGCGTTATCAGAGAGGACTGTTAGCAAGAGGCAAAGTACACAACAATGGGTGTAAAACTACCTGTCCCTAAAGAAACCTGTGTGCCTTAGCACATTTTCTTCAAATTGTTCTCAATTAAAAAAAAAAAAAAAAAAAAAAAGCTGAGCAGCTTTATCATGCTACCGACTACCTAATCTTTCAAGCTGAGGCTGTTGTGCATCACTTCTCCCGCTCCGAGAGCACAGCCCTCCCAGCTCACCGAAAAGGCCAGGGGCATGTAGTTTCGGCGTCGCACCAGCTTCTTCCGGTCCCGCTCGATCTTCTCTTTCTGAGCCAACTGCTGGTAGTACTCAACCAGTTTGTTGATCTGGAGGGGTGAAAAGGAAGACACCCATCAGCGGTGAACAAATGCCCGAACAGCTGCAGTATTTGTCTGTGAACAAGCTGGGGTTCCTGCTGCTTGTTTCTCTCTGTTCCTAGCACTCGCTGTGTTCTGAAGGATGTACATTAAAGGATGTACATTAAAGGATGTACATTAGAGAAGCCTGTGTGTACCAACCCACGCTGTGGGTGACAAACTGACCCTCCTTTGGGAATGACATCTATCAGAGAGCAACGTGCAACTCTCACTTTGCAGTGAGGCAACCAAGACTTCATTCATGCATTTGCCACGACTGGACAGACAAAACTGAGCAATTTGTTTTAGTGGAGCAAATGGCATCTCTCCGCTCGCCGAGGCTGGTCACATTTAGTGGAGGGCCCTAACAAGTGACAGGGAAGGGCAGTAAAGGTGTGGCTCTGTTTTCCAGATCCTAGATGCACTCTCGGTTGGAAAACAGCTTTTGTTCACGTACATACACAGCATGTTCACTGGTGTCGTTTTAACACATCTCTCCGCTCGCCGAGGCTGGTCACATTTAGTGGAGGGCCCTAACAAGTGACAGGTAAGGGCAGTAAAGGTGTGGCTCTGTTTTCCAGATCCTAGATGCACTCTCGGTTGGAAAACAGCTTTTGTTCACGTACATACAGCATGTTCACTGGTGTGGTTTTAACAGCACTACTAGATATGATGTTTGCAAATTTCTTCTGAAAAGGAGATTTTACACTGCGACATCCACGGGAGAGCCTCTAAAAGGCCTTCCTTCCACTGAATTCAGTCAAGGTGGAGATTAGGAACTGGAACTGGCATCTGAAGGATTATATAGATGCAGAAAAAGTGATTGAGAGGGCCTGACATCTCTACCAGCTCTTTCTAGCTGATGTGTCTCAGCCTAAGCAAGGCCCTTCCCCTCACTCACCCTCTGCGTGTGAGGATTCTCCGGCTCCTGCCAGCCACCACTAGCTGCACAAGAAAAAGAGAAAAAAAAGTACTCAGGAGAAAATCTCCAGACTCTACACAAAAATCACATCTAACAGCCAGCTCTCTCTGTTTTATTCATGAAACTTCTTACTTTTGCCACGCTTACCACTGCAATTCTTTTAGGCTCCTGCCTGCACAAATACACACCTCAGAAAGCTTTGCACAGGCAGGTTTGGGCTGAAGCTGCTTCACCAGCTTTTATAGTGTGCTTTAAACAACTACTGTTCGAGAGATACACAGAACAGCACCTAGGAGTCACTTTAGCAGCTCCCAGTCTTCAGCCACATCAACACTGGAAGTCAGAGGATCTGTTTGGTCTACTCAGACCCATTTCTGGAGCCCGACAGCTATTTTCTGCATGTCTTGTGCACCAAGGAATAGAGGAAAGCTTTGTTCCATGGCTGTCAAAGAGAAAAACCGAGTACAAACACTGACTAACAACTGCGGAATAAGCCAAAGCGAACATACGTTACAAAAAATAAATTAGATGTTTACGCTGTCAGACTGAGCAGCTTCAGTCTCTGAAGGTACACAAACAAGATCTCAACTGTGAGAGAACCCCAACTACAAAAGCCCCTCGGATGACAGCTGTCTGACCAGCCAGGCAACACAAGTGGGTCACACGTTCCACTAACTCATCTCAGCTCTTCGGAGGAGACTTCAGCACCAAACCATTTTCCTGTGAATTCCCAGCTGTGACTCAAAACCCAGACAGCTACTACATGTATCAGACTGCCAGAAACTAATCTGATGATCTGTCACCTTCAAAACACGTACTGGGCTCCTGCTGTTACTCAGTCTTCTGTCTTTGTCACTTACCAACAGACTTGTCTGCCATGCCCACGTCCCGGGAAGTCCAGCGGCAAAACCCACAGGCCAGGTAATACGCTTTCTTCATGGTGGTCTTGGCCGGATCGTCAGGGAGTGGAGCAGGGATACTTGTGGCCCGAGTGGAAAGGGTGTGCATGCAGCAGGGGCAGTCGAAGCAGTTAGCACACCTGGGAAGAAGGTGTGTAAGACAGCGCTCTGACAAGTGTTCCAGGCCAAGGAAAATTCCCTCAACAAGCAAAGATTAAACCAACAGACCTTTCCATCTTATGTGACAGCATCAGGGAAAAAGGGCAACAGAGACCCCAAGAGGAAGAGGAGAGGTTCAGAGTCAACTTAAGAATGGCAACAATGAGAAATACTGAGTGACACCAGAAAGCCCCCTGTACTATGAGAGCAGGTCATCGAAAAAACTGATACATGATAAGCACATGAGAAATCGTGAAAAGACACTCATTCCCCACAGCAGACTAGAAAGTGACAAGAAGTGATGAGATTTTTGAAGAGAGTTTCAGATACACACAGTCAGTTGTTGATTAAGGAAGAAGCTGTTTAATAGGCAGTCTTGATTAAAAAATAAAGCCAAAGCAAGCTTACCTATTCTTTTTCAGCTTAGCTTCAGCCGAAGGCATGTTTTCCAGGCAGCTGGGGCAGTAGTGAGAGTCCACCTGACAAACAAAACCGTCACATCACACCTCATGGCACAAGTTTGTCTAGAAAGCATGCAGGCAGCAGCCCAAAACTCTGACACACAGCTTAACAAGGCTCTGTTACTGGCAACAGACAGGTGCAATCAGGGAAGACTGGAGTAATTTTTTTGCTATCTGAAATCTTAGCCCATCTCAGCCAGATTTTGAACTTTAATAATGTAAGCCAGAAGGTTTCTTAAATCAGGATAGATTAAACTCCTTCCTCTACTAGGGGAAGAAAGGGACAACTGGGTATTGACCTTTTGAGTTACCAGGATTTCATTCTTTAGCTGGAACAACAAGGTTTAACACGCTTTTTTCCCATTTAAATCTAAACTTAATCTGCCCTTGTAGTTACGCTGGTCAGATACACATACATTTCAGAAAACCCTTTTCATCTGTATGCCATCACAAACTATTTTTGTCAATTAAAACAACAGCAGCAAGAAGGGAGTTCCCTTCTCAAAGAGGAAAACAAACCAAATATTAAACATAGAAATGCAAAATAACCACACTCGTCACACTACAGCTAATTCATGATGGATGAAGCATGGTGACAAACCTATTTGATACTCTCCAGGGACTTTAACATTTCCAAAGATGCCTCTTCTGACATCTGGTTGCACCATCATTCTTTCAAGGGTATCTATCACGATTTCTTAATTCACGGAACCACAGAATCAGGGTTGGAAGGGACCTTAAAGATCATC